TCTCCGATCTAGTCGGCCGATCCGTCTGCCGGCCAGTCGCCAGTCGAAGCAAGCAGATTGCAGCCCATACCAAGCGAGATATGGAAACGATACATACGGGAGTAGCATATCCAATGTAGGGCCCCAGAGCAGCCAGTGACGGGAGGGCCAAGAGGCCAGTGTTTAATTATAGCAACTTGATTCAGCCAGCAACGAGTCACGAGCATCATCTCATTTGACATGTAAATTCTCCATGCCGCAATAAGGCACTCGTCAGCAACAAGCGAAAATAGCGTTCGCCATCAGGTTATCATCTTCGCTGCAAGGTTCCACATATTTACTGCCATGCTATGGAAATGCTAGCAAGACTTCTTACTGCGGCTTATACCAAGTACGGCCAAACGCTATCATCTACCTCTCAAAAGGACTGCAGGAAGCCTGCGCTAGTCTTGGAAGCGACGCGGACGACGATGCTCCGCTGTGAATGCTGCCCCCGTGGGAAGGAGAGTAGACCGCGAGTGGGTGGTCAAAGATGGATGGAAGAGCACATTAGCTACTCAGCTGGCCAATTTGCTCAAAATTCGAGCCACACTGTTGGTTCCTTCCACCTCGGTCTACCAACTTGCAGCCTACACATACGCATCTGACGCTATTCCTCATGCTCTCTCGTCTACGATTTATTGATGCGTGCACGGGTTTCCAAGTTTGAAATCCGCCTTCAATATTCTGTGAAGCTACTCCGTACTTTCGCTTGAGTATAGCCGGCTCAACCAGCGCCCTGTCAAGCCGTCAAAGAAGCCATCGGCTCCAACTAGGAACCCACTGTTGGTTTTCGACAGAGACATTATTGAAAACCGATGAGAAGCGACGGTCTCCATGGATGAAAGCAACTGAGAAGCGGCTCCGTTGCTGCTGTAATGTGGACCCGACTTTGATCTCTCCATTCTTAGGAGCCTCAGAGATACTTCAAATCACCAGTGCCATGAGCATCGCAGCAACTACCCGTGGAGAACAAGCAAGATCAAAAGACCATTCTCGTCTGAAACAATTCACCCAAGTATCCTATACTTTGTTCTCTGCTCAAATGTACCCAGCCCGACAATGAGCTCCATCGTTGTTCGAAGTGCTATGAAGGGAGAGTGGTGTCTTATCCTTCTGTGCCGCCCCAGCTGGCTTGTTGCGGATGCCATTAGATCTCGATTTGGTTGAATTACATTTGAGTCCGAAACATTAAGCCGCCCAAATGGCCCCAATTTACCAGCCAACTCCATCTTGTCAAGGTTATTTAGCAAGCAATTTTTCGCTCCTGTTCGAGGGCGATCTTTGCCTTGACGACCAAAACCCACAACGTTACATAAAAATGAAGTTGGATGTTGCTTGGTATTCTGCAGCAGAAAGGGCTGCAATGACGCAATGAGTAGGCACTCCAGCTATCCTGACAAAGGCAACATGCTTGAATCAGACTGCTTTGAGCATGCAACACTGGCGATTGTATTGCTGGCCTGACCTAAGAGACCGGGGGAGAAAAAAAGACAAGAAGAGACACTTCATTGGAAGATCTAGCAATGTCCTCATTCGGATGTCTCTTGTGGAACAAATCAGCAGCGCCTGCATGGCTACCAGTATCTCAGCTTGCAGTACTAGCAGCAACATCTGCCGGTCCACCTTTGGCAACACTCAAAAAGTATGCTTAAATCGCCACGCCACATTTCCGTCTCGGTGAGACGTTAATCCTCGGCTTGGTTTTAAGACATCCGGCCGTGTGTGAGACAGCTTGCCTGGTCCAGGGCTCTGGTCCAATCTGCTCTAGAAGGGCGATTCGCCTTGCTCTCAAGCAAAGTTACGAGTCCGAGACAATTCGCACCACACGAGTCTCTTTTTGACTGCGGCAAGCTATATCGCCAAGCCTCCTGCCAAGAAATTAGGGATGATTGACGAGATGAGTTTTTCTTAGTTGAAGGCGTACATGCATACCCTTAGACTTAAAGACGGCCGTTCTGGAATCTGCTAGATCGACATAGTGCTGTCCTACATCATGGATTAAGAGCCAGTGTCACAGTCTTGAGAATATGCCGTGCCCAGGAGCTAAAAGCACAAGAGCTTTACAGGCATGCAGGATCTTGGCCTTCAATTTTTAACGGCTGCTACGCCCTCCCTTCCACCCAACATTTAAGCTTTCACACCGACTCGCCTACGCGCATGTCTCATTGAGCGAGAAGATGGCTGGGTCGCGGCACAAGAAAGACGCCAAGACGCCCACGATCAACAGTCATACTAAAGATTAGGACTTCTGCCAGATGCATGCAATAGTAATCAGCCGGACTGGTTTCTCTTGTTTGGTTCGTCGAGGCCCCTATCATACTGTACGCTTGACGCGTGTTGGCGACGGGCGTCTAACTATCAAGTGCGCGTAGTATAGATAATACCCGTCGCCCAATGACAAGTTCTGGAACTTTGTTTCCACCACGCTCGGACACCGAGCATCTACTTGATCGACCTTTTGTTCGGAAGACCTGAAGCTAAGAATTTTGGGTACCACGAAGTTGTGAGCAGCCAGCTTGACTGATCCTTCGGTGCTCCTTCGATCGATCCATGGAGATTGGCGCGTGCCAAGATATTCAAATCTGTAACGTGACAAAGGATTAGATACCGCCTGCTGCTTCTCAATAGAAATGTCTTGCCAAGCGGCCGGAAGTATCTTGGCATACCGAAATGCGGCAGCTTGTTGAGAGCGATACCTAGCGATACCTAGCGATACCTGAAGATAAGCATTCCACGTCGAAGACAGTGTGCTTGTGCAACACCGTAACGGCTGTCTATTATTCGCTGATGGAGCGCTGATGAGTGATGGGTGCGCTGAATACCATTGCGGATTCAACGTATCGTTTTCATAAAATGTGGTTGTGAACACAAAGGTGTCTAGTGACCGGGGTTTCAATTCTGCGCATGAGCCTGCCGGGAAAGCATCTGAACAGACAGGAGCCTGAAATTCCAGCCCATAAGGGCACAAGCTACGAGTTCCAGGCCTTTTAGTCTTTGTGACTTGAGCTTGTCCAACACCCACTTACTTTGTGAGAGCTGAGACTCAGTGTAACGACCCCAATGGCGACCATCAGCATATACCTGGAATTTTCATGCTGACAAAGCAGACGGGAGCGCTTTCGAAATCTCTCAGAACTGTGCAGTGGCTATAGTTCAATCCAAGGGGTTGATATTCCAGAGTGAATAGCATAATCGGCTGATTTTTTTTTTTTTATGCCTGAAGCGATTATCTCTCATTAGCGGGCTCACCAAAAGTATCCAGGAGTGGTATTCAACTCAGATTCAAGGGGCAGTTTGGACGATAAAGAGCGACGAGAAGAAGACATCATCAGTCTTTCCCCGAAGCACGAGCTCTTTTGACACTTCTTCTTGATCTTGCACATAGCTCCGGGCATTATTAATAACGATTGTGCCGCATTACTAGTGGTGGGATTATAAATGCATCTTGCCGCCAACAGATGGAGTAGTAGCGGACGCGGCGCGGCGCGGCGGGGCCTTTGACGGAGATTTTTCCACGGCCCGCCATCAAAGCTACACTCAGCCTCATATCACGCTGGTACCTGGAGGCAGATGGCGGGAAGCTTCCCGGCGGCCGGGAAATGGCAACTGAATTTCGGGATGATTGCCAATGCAGCGGCTCTAGCTCGCCCCGACGCCGTGTTGAAATTGGTGCCGGAGATAATGACTTCCATGGAGGCTACCAGTATGGCTTCCATCGAGGCTATTATTATGGCTTTTATGGATATTACCAGTCTTTGCGGCTCTGTGTAATGAAATATATATAGTTCAGCATCTGAGCATGCTGCTTTTTTTTTTGTTTGAGCACCTTCCACTATCGTCTCTTTACAAGCAGCCTGACACAACTAAAACTCTTGGAAATTCTGACTACCTATCAATCCAACATGTCTGAAGACTCATATGTTTCCCTAACCATAGGAACTCACACGTGGGCTCCAAATGATGGGGAAAAGATACAAGACATCATCTCCATCATGCGAGCTCACAACATCAAAACTCTAGACTCGGCTAGGTTATACGTGAGTCTCCTATCGAATGGGGACATGCCATCTCACCATTTGGTGTCTCTCTAATTGACCGTTGTTTTGAAACAGGGTGGCGGAGCATCGGAGACAGCCATTGGAAACTTGCATCTGGGTCCAGACTTCGCTGTTGATACCAAAGTGCCAACAGGTTTTGCCAAAGGCCAAGCCGACAAGATTGAGCAATCAGCCTACGAGAGCTTGGCTACGCTCCAGACGAAACAAGTACGGCCACTGCCTCAAATACCCTCCATTTTATCGTCGCCTAGCCTTGCTAACGATATATATTTCTATGTATTCTATAGGTTAGGACCTACTTTTTCCATGGCCCAGATGAGACTGTTCCGTTCGAGAAGCAAATGGAAGCCATCCAGAAACTCTATCTCCAAGGCAGCTTTCAGCGCTTTGGCATCTCCAACTTTACCCTCGAGCAGGTTCTCCGCCTCTACAACATTGCCAAAGAAAAAGGCTACGTTCTGCCATCTGTTTACCAGTGCAGCTACAGCATCGCCTCTCGCCATAACGAGGCTGATCTATTCCCCACGCTCCGCAAGCTGGGCTTCTCCATCCAGGCATATTCTCCCATGGCGGGCGGATTCCTGGCCAAAACGCCAGAGTACATTGAACAAGGCCAAGGTAGCTGGAATCCCAACACCCCCACTGGAAAATTCCAACGCGACCTTTTTTACAAGCCATCGTATATGAAAATGCTCGCAGAGTTTGGAGCCTTGTCAGAGAAGTCGGGCGTCAGCCGCGCGGGCTTGGCGTACAGATGGGTGAGGCACCATTCTATTTTGAAGAAAGCAATGGGTGATGAGATGATTATTGGTGCCTCCACTTCGGATCAGCTAGCAGACACGATGAAAGAATTAGGAGGTGGGCCTTTGGAACCGTGGATCGTCCAGCGCATGGAAGAGCTTTGGGAGATGATCAAGCACGAAGCGCCAGTTGACAACTTGAAGTCGTTTCAAAACATTTTTGGATAATTCTAAGGTGGCAGAAGAAAAAAGTGGGTATCTCATTTGAAATGATACAGTGGCTATCTGGTATTGTAGCTAGAAAGAGCTGGAAGAGCTGAAATTCCTTGGCAATTGAACTTAATGAGAAGATTTCATGCTTTAGTTACGTGCACCAATAGCCACCGGACCATTGCCATAATAATATTCCTAGATCGTCTTGGGAGACTGTGCGAGTAGATCGCTACTAGTTCGCCTTGGCAATTAAAGTCGTAGAATGCATTGGACAAATCGTGTCATTAATAGAGGATATCGTAGCGGGTACACAATTGCAAGTGCTTGTGTACAAATATGTACGGCGAATGAATCATGCAAGGGCTCATGGCCTTCATTTAAACGTCTTGGTGCTGCTGAGCCTCTTGATGTTGTAGATGAAACTCTCGGGTAACGACTATGCCGCTGGGCTCGACAGGACCTCTCGGTGGAGAGACGTTGCCAAGTTCAATCTGCGAGTCTTCTTGCCTCTCCTTAACAGGGATGCTACGCTCTGAGCCATCGTCCGTGAGGTGTGCAAAAGGGTGTTCGTCTGTCTCGTGTGTGTGGCTGTACGCTCGAGAATGAGACGTTGTCGTAACAAATCGGCCATCACCCTGCCAAGGCCGGGCGCCATCTTTTTGATAGTAGCTCATTCTGAGGGTTCCTCGGGTTCCACTGGACGGCTGTTTCTTGGATGGGACAGATGAGAGACTGAAAATGCCAAAGGTGAATTTGCTGAGAATCGGCCGCAAGAAAGGTAGGCAAGCTAATTGCAGAGAAAGAGAGTCAGAAGTTATCACCCAGAGGCTTAGAAGATCCCGCTAGATGGCGCATGCTTACCACAAAAGATGGCTGTGTTTCCTTCCACGACAGACCACAAAGCGATATTGACAAAGTTCCAGGTAATATCTGGACTGGTCAAATTCCCTTGGAGTAAATAGTGAAGGCGAACAATGGAGACGATCGTAACGCTGGCCAAGTAGTTAGAATTACCGATGCTTGTGACGCTGACAACAAACAAAATGGGTCTATTGGCGACTTACAAAAGTCCAACGCAGAAAATACCAGCAAGAGCCCACTTTTGTCCCCTGGGAAGCTGCAGCGTTGTGATGTACGGAAGAGGTAACAGCAATATCAAAATATCGGTAACAATTGTCGGGATTGCATTTCCGTAGAAGAACTTGACCGAGTCTACTGTGCATTTGTAGTCGTCTGGCTGTAATGGGTGCGTCGGGTTGAAACGCTCCCACCACGCACTGGTAGGTTGACATTGCAAAATTGTAACGAGGATCTGTAAAAGAAGAGTGAGTAAGTAAGCAAGTGGACAAGTTTTTTTTTTTTTTTTGTTTTTAAAAAAAAAAACATGTGAATTGAATACTTACGACACCAATAGCCCACATCAGCACAATCACAGCAAGTGTGAATATAGGCAACTTGACTGAACTTCGGATCTTGAAAGAGCGATAATAAAAGGCGAGAATAGACCATTTGACGCATGCAATAGTCACAAAATATCCTAATTCGGCGATGAATAATCCCACTGCCCAGGCATATTGGGCATCTGGCGGACCGGCCCAGACATGTCTGCCCAAACCACGGCTCACGGCTAGAATAGAGTCAATATTACGGTTTATTCTCTGGGGTTAGAGAATCGGATCTCGAAATCTACTGACCATATACGCCCATCCCGAAGACGTGGGCACATGAAGGAATCTAAAAAAAGAGCGCTGTTAGTCTTATTTCCACACCCTCAGTTTTAGAAAACCCGCACCAATGCCGCAATAATGAGCCAGTCATCTATCCATAGATCGATATTTTTCAAACGACGGCTGACGATGCGGAGCCCAACGACGAGAACCGCCATACACCAGGTGACAATCGAGGTAACCATGATGGAAGCCCTCCTATCGTCGTCGAGATTGATCCCGGAAGGCGCCGGAGGAAGAGAGGCCATGGCTTGTGTATGCAGCTTGGTAGACGCTGCTGTCAAATTGTTGGAGAAGAAGTAAAGGAGTGGCTATCAGAGTCGACGGCCTTCCGGTCGCAACAGACTCTGAGAAAGAAACGAATGTGAGATTGTTTGAAGAAGAAGTAGAGTCCTATGCCATGCTCCTAGGAACTATACCACCATATGAGAACGACAAGAAACGATTCTAGCCTCGGATGATATAACTTCTTACCGGTAGAAGCCAAACTTAGTCGTGCATATGGACCTGGACCAACAGCACAGAACAGGGAATCATCGACTGAAGTGCGTTTTTAGCAGCTCCAGATGGTTAGGTCGGCAAATCTATAACAAGGGCTCACCTCACTGGTGGATCGAGAGCCTAAAGCTGGTGGACGCCACCGCGAAGACAAAAAAAAAGCCACAATGTAATGGTTCGGTGGTTCGAGGATTTAAAGCCGTCTCGTCGGCCTCACTACTACCGAATTATCTTCAATTTCTCCCCCCACTCACGAGCGGCACCTGTCGTGAGCCGCTCTAGTTTGATCAATCAAAATCCCGACTGAGCCAGGGCGCAAGGTGAAGCCATGTGGTTGGCCTGCCGATCTTGCTGAAGAGCCCGCCTGAGAAAGGGACGCCTAAGCTGCTACGAGCTGGGAGAACCACCCGCTAAACTTCAGATTGGCATAGCTGGAATTAGCATCGGCAGAGGTCCAGCCCATTGGGCCTATTAGCACGGCTAGCAGGGGTTTCTGGAGCCCGACCCGTCAGTTCAGCTGCGGGCAGGGATGTTGGAGATGCCGATTGATTGCATGGAAGCGCACGTACCTTACAGGGATTGCAGGTGACAAATCGGTCTTGTTTTGTGCCCTTTTTCTTGCCTCTTGTTAGAAGAGAGATGGAGAAGAGTGGTGATGCTGATGAAATATCTGGAGATTGCTTTTAGGGTTATCAGGTTAGCTGTCCCTTGCCACTGCCATCTCCAACCAAAGCTGCACGTGACGGTCTGTTTGATATACCTCCCAATCGTTCAAAGAGACATACTGCAACTATATCACGTGAAGTGTTTCTCGGCAGTTACTAGGCCATTTATTCAGATTCTAGTTTTTCTAGCAGTTTGTATTAGCAAATATCTCGGTTTCAAATCGTCAAACGAGCATCTAGCAAGACAATAGTTGATGCTGCTAAAGTAGTGCGAACAGCTTCCCAAGGAAAATATAGAAAAAGAGAAAAAAAAAAATCTCCATCCTGGCCGCAAACTACTGGCTTATGCCCGACTCATGCGCTCCATCTCGTATCCACCGCAGATCGAGGACTGCTCTGCTTTTGCATGTCTTCTCAACCGCAGTCCCGAGGCAGCACTCCACAAGGTTGAGGAGGGGAATGGGCGGAATGGGAAAGCAGAGAGAGTCAAAATAAAATTCCGCCGTGGGGACATGGAGTCGTAATGGCCGATACGAGGGGCAGAAGCGGCCGACGGTGCGGGCTAATTAATCTCAACGTCCGCGCGAAAATGAGCTTGCGGTGAAAACTGTCAGGTGAGGTAGCGGTTATGGTAGGTCGTTGCGAGTAATGAGAAACAGAACGTTTTCGGGAAGGATGGCCAGGTTCAACGGTCGGACTAGGAGCAATGCAGAGGCGTTCCGCCGATCGCAGTGATTCCCCAGACGTGCGGGACTCGAAATAGAGCCTGGGAGGCGCATTTGGCAGCGGCGATCTGCAGATACCTCTTATTAGCGACCACAAGATGTTATCATGCGGAATATGACGATATAAGAGCGACTCAGACCTATGAAGCGAGCATGACAAATGATGCAGAACCTAGGTGCATGATATTGACAATATTATATCGAAAATAAGATGGATATCGTAAAGACGACTGCAAAGACAGAGATACAAGGTAAACAGAAATAGACATACAAGAACACAATGAGAAAGCATAGTGACTCTAACATTGATAACACGACTTAGTATTACCAGTGCGGCTGGTAATAGAAGACCCCAGCATCATGGCTAGCCCGTCTTCTTCTTGTTCTTCCCATCACCTTCCGCCATATCCCTCTTCCTATTATCTGTCTTATTATCCTGCCCCCCATCATCTTCCGCCTTATATTGAGAGTCGCCAGTCTTGTTTCTAGGCGGGCCAGCCTTCCAGTGGCCGAGCATCTGGCCATTCGCCAATACAGGAAGCGGCTGTGCCTTCCAGGCAATATGCGATGCCAAGTTAGACGAAGCGCAAACCCGCTTTCCAGCGTAGGCCCTTCCATACTCCATCATTCTCTTGCTCATCTGTACGTGCGAGCCTTTTCCTTGTCCGCACTTTTTATCCATGATTTCCTCTGCCTCGTTCCACTCGTGTCGGTGGCAGGGCCTCTGGACGCTGTACGTGCAAACGTACACCATAACATCGCCGACGATGGAGAAGTGAGCGCCGTGAAATGGGACTTTGAAATTCTGGCAATAGTCCCAGAGGTTGTCGACGGCGCTGCGGTATTCAGTGCTGTTGAGCAGTATGTCACGATCCTTGTGGCACGAATGTCTGTTGGCGTGTATGGGCACCGAATAATCGTCCACCGTATGCGGGCCGGGTTTCTCGTAGAAGTCGCCCTGGCCGGGCGGACTTTTCCATCTCCGAGGAGACAAGTGACCGGATGGGACAGCTGGTGGGATAGTTGTCGGGGCTTCGAGGGTAGGGCCTTGTACGGCAACGGCTTGGTAGATGCCATCGGGAAGTCCTTGTTCCACTGCGATTCCTTCCTGTGATTGTGATGCTGTGGCAGCACAAGCTATCACCGAGAGAAGCAAGACGAGGAACCTAAATAAGACCATCTCGACACTATAAAAAATGGCAGCAGGTTGAACAAGGTAACACGAAATCAAAAGAAAATAAAAGAAAAGATAAAAGGGTATCAAGCTCGTAAGAACTGTCGTCAGTGTTGATGATAGACAAGGCGAATATTTATGTTCTTCCGGTCGAAGACTTCGTATACTTGGGGAGAGCAAGTTGGGGCCTTCCATAGGCACGGCCATTTATACCTTGATGTAGGTGCCAGGGATATCCACTCAACTTCAAGGTTCAGGACAGAGTTTTGTGACCTGGAATTTACTCCATGGTTCAAAGCCATCTGCATAGGTTCGTAACTTTTGCCTCTTGTTACACGCAGTTGTAACTTAGATACACCAAAAAAAGGTGCAGAGTTGGCTCTCGTGGCTTGGAACTTACCGTATAGACTCTGAGTCATAAACATATACACGCGTAGTAATACATTAAAGGCAAGCCAAGTATCCAGTCGGCCTCATAATCTCCATGTAGAGCCGTGGCGCAGAACCTTATTCGTCAAACCGCAAAAGATAATCTGCCGAGAGTCAGTATTACCCAGAACTCCGACGATGGGGTAGAGGAGAATATATAAAGAATAAAGGATATGTTTAAAACACTAGCTGCAATGTCTAAGGATAATCACACTCGCAACAAGGGCAATCAAATAGCATCCAAGACCGTCGACGCAAGACTCTGATACCCATGACGCCTCCAGCAATGACTTGTAGAGTACCCGAAAACACAGATAGCTAAGAAAATACTTTCTCATTAGAACATTACGCTTCTCGCACACAAAATGCACCGCTGTTGAACCCTAACAAGCTCGCGAGATAGTCTCATGAAAGCTTCTTCTGCATAAAATCCGCCAGCTCATCCAGCAGCTCCACCGTCTCCGCTGGGCTTGCGATCCAGGCTGTTGTTCCCACACTCCTTGCTTTGAAGTCGTTGGATCCGGCGCTCAGAAACTGGTCTCCCACGTGCAGTGTATTCTCGCCCCTGATTGCCGTCAGCGCCGCGTCAGCTCCAGTGGTGCCCCCGTTGCGTCTTCCGAACCACTGTTGACAGACAGTCACGCCCCAGCTCTTGTCACCAATGTCGACAAAGACATCGCGGCCACCGTTGAAGGCGCAGAACGGAACTCCGCGGCGTCCCTGCGCGCTTTGGCCAGCCTGTTGAGAAGGCGAGCCCAAGGCACTGAGCTCCAGGATACGCTGTACCACCAATACAGTCTCTTCCAGGCTCTCCCGAGCAATTTGTATCTCAGGAGGGTTGGGGACGATTCCCACGGCGCGGTCTTTTCGAACAATGAGGGCGGGAAGATTCATCGTGCGAATACAGTCTCGAAGAGCCGATTCTGCCACGTCCAGGAGTACATTGATGTCTGCCTCTGACCAGGCCGCCATGTCTGGAGTGAGCCACTCTGGGCGAGGGACAGGCGCTAGGCGATAGGGCGAAGATGGCTCGTATTCGAAGAGATAGTTGGATTCTCCTCCCATGATGACGATGTTTTGCTTCTGCACAGGGTCGAGATCTGTAGAAGTGGCGATGGCGTCAAGGAGGCCGTGGAGGCGGTCGTAGTATCGTTCAGCGGTGGTATACCCAGCTGCGGTAACGATGCCAATTTTGATATTTTTGCGCAAAAGATCTGTAACCATGTTAGCGATTTCACAGAGTACGTATCTCTACTATTATTCCCTTTTCCACCTCGCGAGTAATGTCAAACGGCGAAGAATGAGAGAACAGAAGAGTAAGATTTTGAAGGTGTTTCATACCGAGCAGACGTGGAATAACGGGACTTGTTGGTTCCAAACTCTGTCCGTCATCGTACAGTGTCACATCACCATCAAACGTTGCCAGCTGGAGGGTGCCGCCCGTAACAGCCATAATCTGCGCCGAATTCAGAACCAGACGAACATCGTTGAAAGAAGGCGCCACATAGCGTCTTGACGAGATGTACCGCTTCCGATCCTGGTACTTGAAAGCTGCTTCCAAAGGTAGCCGCGTGAAGAATGGCCCCGCGGTGGGAACCAGCATTCCAAGCTTGGAGGGGAAGATACGATCTTGGTTTTGGCGGGCGACTGTTGTTTTCTTCCAGTTAGCCACTATGCGACGAGGAAAAGAAAGCGAAAAAGAGAGAATAAAGGTAAAAAATGCAACTGAGCGGTGAATACACCTACTGTGGTCGTCAATCATCAATTCAACGTCTCGCATAATCTCTGCGTAGCGTCTGTGGGCCTCTTCAGCCATCTTGGCCACGTTGGTGTCATCGCCAAAAACTCCCGTTGGCTGGGAGTAGAGCACAAACGGCACGGCCAAGAGTCCCTTGACCCATTCTGAACGAATTTTAAAAAGATCAAACATTAGCTGATTGCTTCATTCAAAGGTGCCCAAGCCTGTCGCCATTGGAAATATTTGATTTTGGAGTCATGGCTCCAAGACCGATGGGTCGGTGCAGCCAGGCCAGCGACTATTTCGCACTTTGAAGACAACATACCGATGAACTGGTCCCGTCTATGGGTCTTGAGGGCATCTTGATATTTAAATTAGTCACATAGTCCAAAAGTCAGACGGCGGAGATGGCATCGCTCCTCTCACTCTCTACAAATCTTGAGATGGACGAGGGGCACCAATTGGGCAGACTTACACTCGACGCGGTATCGGGTTGTCATAATTAGACGTCGGTAGCTTCGTTCTCTCCAGCCAATTGGATTCTATAGAAGAAGTGTAAAGTAATAGAGGCAGAAGGAAGAGTCTAGAGTAAACGAGAAACGAAAACGAAGCAAAAGCAGGATGATGTTGATGGTGAAAAACAGTGGAAAGAGTAAGGACAAAATAAGGTTGAACTGCTCGTTGTTGTCACGACGTCAATCGGATTGGGCTCCGGCCGGCGGTGCCCCAGCTTTAGGTAATACCAACCTGAATCTATACATGTAGCAAGCAAAGCCCCCCTAGAAACCGGCCCGGAGAGGGGCACAGACGCGTTGCTAAACCAATTGGCTGCTGAGGTTGCTGTGTAGCATAGCAAATAGTGAGTGCCCGTGCTCTTTTAGTGGCCTCTTGTAACGACCTGTAGCGGGGTGACTGCACTAAGCAGCCTATCGGTCAGCGCCGCACGCCGAAGCCTTAATCGATAACGCGCAATAGACAAGGGGGAGCAAGCGACGTCGCGATTTGATTTTCTGAGCTTAGCACCGATATAGAGAAACTCTGATTGTCATGTTCACATGCGGTCTGATGACGCTGTCCAAATGCCCGACTAGTTAATTTCAAATATACAAGCACATAAAGATATATGTCTATGGGTGTGTTGTATCTCTCTTTTTTTTTGTCACTATACTAATGGTACTACATACTGCCTACACATTGTGCTCTCTTTCTGTATAGCCCGCACCCAGCTGTACATCAACCCCGTCCATCCATCAACCAATTCAATGCCTATGTGCTCTTTCGTGTTGGCCGCAAATCACCAGCCTGCGCCTGAGTCACAATAATTTCAAACACAAACGATATAAAAAAAATAAAGGGATTTCCCCATCCAAGTAATCTCCCCCCCCTGCACTGCAGCTTAAATTATAGAAGCTGTGTCAACTCTTACCTTGCTTGTTTGTTGTTTAGTCCAGCCCTACTTTTTTGGCTGCTAATCTGCTTCCCGCTGCTTTGATATTCTTCCTCCCCGTCGCCAGCCTGTGCTTGACATTGCTTCTTCAGTCCGACGTGCTTTTAGTAGGCTTTTAATTTTTTTTTCCCCTTTTCCTTTTTTCTTCTTCTTGCAACTTTGCTTCTTCCTTCGACTCCCCTTTGCGTAAGTTTTCTTAGCAAGAAGAGTATCATCAAGTTCATCTCTGTCGTAAACGGCAAAGCCTTACTCGCCCATAATCCTAGAAGATAGTTGCGCAGTGTCCACACAAAGTAGCATTTATATAAGACTTCTCTTTGATGCAACTTGCAACATCGTTTGTATTGTAGGCGGTCCGGACTCAGTTGGCGCCGCCATTGGCAGCAGCCTCTGCTTGCTGTGCCTGGAGCTGAGCTTGAGCTACCTCCTCTGCCCTAACGAGAATGTCTTGGATGAGAGCCTGCTCTTCAGCAGAAAGATGGCTTGCAAGGTTGGCATAGAAGTGAGGCTGATCATTTTGCATGGCTAAAATATTGGAAATCATTTGTTAGTGGGCAATTCAAGGGTTAGCAAATCGGCATCTTCCACTCACATAGCAAAGTCGCTCTGAACAGCTGGTAAGGTTCAATCTTGTCCAATGGAGATTCGAGAAGTACACTGTCCTCTCCAAGCTCCTCTTCTTCCTCATCATCGATGACTCGACTGAACTTTTGTGCCTAAACGGGTTTAAAGTTAGCTATAATCTTATAGTCGGGATGCTTTGGATTATGGATTATAACACGAACCTCTTCATTCAAGAATTCAAGATAAGCGGCGCTCTCATCTTTAGTCTCTGGCGACTCATCATCACCTCCTCCAGGAGCAATTTCTTCTTCTTCGTTCCATGCTACATCTCTCTCATCCCACTCGTCGTCATCGGCGTAGTCATAGCCAGCATCCAGGGTGAAATCATCACGGAGAGCATCCTCTCGGTCTATTGTTATATTATAAGTTAGTCAATCAATCAATAGATGAAACAGGTTACAGGAAGAGGTAGGAAACATACTCTTCATAGCAAGAGGCAGGGTTCGGAAGAGTTCAGTAATGCCTTGGAGCAATCGTGGCCATCCGACAGAAATGCTGGCAGGAACCTGCTCATGATTAAGGCTAAGCAGGGCGGAGATGGCAACAATGCATAGCTTTTTGTCATGCACTCTGCTAAATGACGACATGCTGCCGAACCACAGGCTGAAGAATCTGTTGGTCCAAGCATTGCTCTCTAGCACCTGCAGGGTGAGCATAGGGTTATAGTGCACAGCATTGATAACCATTTCCATGAGATGAATCTTGTAGCTCTTGATTCTAACGTCCTGGCCGGCCAAGATGTTCATGGCCATGTTGATGAAACCCTCGACACAGCTATCGATGCTGCCTCGGAGGCTAAGCATCATGGCCTCAGCCAGCTTGCAGGCGCATATCCGCTCAACACCTCCCTCGACGGCATCGGTGAACATGTCAGCCACCATTGAATAGAGGGCTTGAACATATTCTGGCTTCTGAACCAAGGCCGGTGCACCATACTGAACAAAGTTGTCCAGAGCGGGGAGCATGTCTTCGAGATAATACTCTGCTCCTGCCTTGAAGGTTGTATGAATCAGCTCAAAGGCTTGCCACATGTTGGGAGAGATGCCCTTGGCGGCGAAAGTGCAGCTGTCAATGATCTCAAAGGCTTCATTGTAGAGGTCGTACAGCTTGTTCTCCAGCGTAATGCTTATAACTGGCATGAGAACGGCCTCAATGTGGAGGAGGACATCGGGGGTGCTCTCGAGGGTGAGGATCAGTGTTCCAATTGTCTGCAAAACACCCAGCGCCGTGATGCTCTTGTCATCGTAATCATTGTACATCTCGCCATCATCGCCAGCTTTGCTCTCCTTCTCCAGAAGTTCTCGCACGATACGAAGATAGGTGTCACGCAGCTGCTCACACAGGGCAACGGCGAAAGGAGTGAGCTCGGTAGCAAAAACTTCAACAAAGTCTTCCATAACATTGGCCAAAGCGTCGATGTCAGCCTCATTGGCCAACTTGAGCAGTTGCTGCATGATGGTAGGGATGCTTTGCTGCATGCTGGTTCGGATAACTTCGTGTCTGATCAATGGCTGCAGGGCAAGGGCGGCAGTGACCCGAACGGGGAGGGCTGGGTCTGCCATGCAGTCCAAAATGTTCCGATAAATGGTAAGGAGGTTCTCTCGGTCCTGGAAGTTGAGCTGTTCAAACTTTTCAATAGTATCACAAGCTCGGGCTCGAAGATAACCCAAGGGGCTGGTAAAATCTGGGAAGACGTAGCGGACGAGGAAATACTCGACCTGGTCAGCAATGGGACTCTTCTTGCCGAGGATGACGGGGGCAAGGGTTCCAATCATTCGGAGGGCTCCCTCCTTGGCAATGTGGTTCTTCTTGTCATCGGTAGACTGTTCGTACTCGTTGACAACGGCGTTGACAAACTTGAGAATTTCAAAAACCTCCTTCCGGCGGTTCTTCGTAAGGTTGACCAGGAAGTTGGTAGCTGCGATATCGGGAGCAGACGCTTCCTCGAAATAGTTGAGTTTCCGGTGGAGGTACTCCTCGGGCTCCTCCTCGAATTGCTCAACGTCTTCCGCGGACAGGCAAAGCACCGGGAACACAAAGTGGGTGACCAAATTCGTCAAGTGTGGCTTCAAGTGCACCCACATCTCCTTGGGCCGCACTGATTCATCGAGGAAGACTAGGACGTACGACAGACAAGGCCTGCTCAGCCAGGAGGTCTTGGCTACCCATTTTTCGATTTCTTGGAGGTAATGCTTCAGAATTTCAGGAGCAATGGTGGTGGCGAAGCTTTTGGCAAAGTCGAGAGCTCCGTCCTGCTTGCCGGGGGCAGAGGGATTTCCATGTCTAGAATGAACACATTCGTTAGCCATTGATTGAAAAATTCCTTCTCTTCTCTCGTTCTTAATAAGAAGAGAAGAAACGTTGCACAGAGGATTCTAAATCATCCCAAATTACCTAATAAAGAGGCGGTTCAGGTTGAAATAAGCCCATTTCTTGGCCTTCCACCAATGATGTTTTTCTCGGTCGTTCTCGTCAAGCATCATAACGGGGCCTGGGACGGCTTTTGCGACGGTTTGAAGGAAGACGGTGCACCAAGCAATGTTAACTTGGTCTTGTCTCAGGTAGGGCGATAGTTCGAGCTAGATGAGAGAAGTGGTACGTTAGCTGACGACTTTTTGCTTCTTCTTTTCTTGGCTACTGTTCTCTCTGCCTCTCTCTCTTTCCCCTCAATGATCAAGAGGGGGGAGAATAAAGCCAAAGAAAGAAGCCGGAGTTGAGTATCCATACCCAAGTAGCATGCTTGTACGCTTTGAGAGCGAGATGCAGCATCTCGCTCGCCTCGTCGCCCTCCTGGTTCACCAACTCATTGCAAATAGCCAAGAGTCTCGGGAACCCAGCCTCGACGATGCTATCAAAGTGCGCTCGGTCTTGGCTCTCGTTGGATTTGTAGCGGAAAGCGCGGCAGATTGCGAGCAAGCACTGAAGACCGGCCAGCGCAGAGTTCGCATTGTTGGTGTTTAGCAGCTCGAGGGTGAATTCCAGGAATCGCGGCCATCGGCTGGGGAAATCACACTGTAGAATGCGCTGCAGAACGGGGATGAGCTGCTGGCGGACGAGACCTTCGGAGGAGGCCAAGATGGGCACCAAGCGGTCTCGGATTTGGGCCTTCTCCTCCTCGGCTATTGAGCTCTCGGTAGGGATGCCTTCGACCTGGTACCAGGAGCGGTTTACTCGGTTCTTGATGTAGATGACGGCTAAAGAGAAAAATCATGTTAGAACCCGCTGTTTTGATTTTTCCCACAATACTCTTGCAGCGATTTTCTCTTTCTTCCTTCTTCACTTCCATTTCCTCCCACAGCGTATTCTCTTCGGGAAGGCAAGCAAAGCAGGGGGTGGACGGATGGGGAGATGTTGCGACGACGTACTGGCAAGGCGGACACTCGCATCTTGCTCTGCTTCGAGGACATCGAGCAGGCAGATCAGGAAACCGGCATGACCCTCGACCTAGACGGCGAAGAACAAAGAGGCGCATTAGCATAACGAAACAGAGCGGGAATGGGCGTGCAGCAGTGACAGAGCATGATGCGTTCAACCGCGTCCATGCTTCTCTATCCTTTTTTCTTCCATGCTTATTTTTTCTCTTTTCCAGCTCTCAACTGCCTTCTTTTTCTTCCGCTCCCTAGCCGTCGGATTCACGATCTGGATAGGATGGATGGCGGGCGGTGGGTGGACACAAAAACGAATGGACGGGTCTGGAAAACTCGAAACTCACCTGCTTCAGCTGCAGCTCGGCCCGGCGCCTGTTGTCGGCGACGGTGTCCAAGCTGGCCGCCAGCAAGGCCCTGACAGTAGCGGAATCCATGTCTCGATATCAAGAAGAAGCGGACGACAACACAGAGGGGTGCTGTTGTCGTTGGCGCGGGAAGGAGAGTGGGAGAAAGGCGGGCTGAGATTCAACTTTTGGTGTTAGGTTGGGAGGACCCGATGGCGGGGCATCTAATCCAGCACCGGCTGCCCACCCAATAGCAGAAAAAAATTAATATGAGAGGCCAAAAAAAATTATTAGATCAGAAAATTAACGACAAGGGCGATTGGTGATCAACAGCGACGGGCGACGAGCGACGAGATGGGCTTATAGAGAGAGTTTCGACCCTGGCGTGATGGGATGAAAGATGAAGGATTACGGAAGGGTTTTTTTTTTTCCTTACTGCTGATGAGATTTTCTTTTTTCTCATTTTTTTTTCTCTTTCGTTTTTTTTTCTCCTTCTTCTTCTCTCCCACAGAGTCGTAGGGGCTGGCTTCAGGTGCAAAAAGGCGTGCAGCATGTTGACTTGCAGCCTGATAGGGGGCTAGCAGGCGCTAAAAAAATTCACGTTCAGGGTCGTCCATCGCTAGGGTAGGCCTGCCTAGTGGTGCTACAGCGCTGTAGCAGCGGCACTAGCGCACCCAGCTGCGCCTATGGCGAGACGGCAGATGCTGACCTGAGAAAAAAATTGCACAACGCAGGGAGGGCTTAGATCAGAGGCTTTGCCTGAACCATGTAATCAACCAGGCAAGCCGACCAGCTAGTATCATAGCATTAGTAAAATGCTGGGGGGGGGGGGGGATTTATTACTACCTACTGCTACTGCTACTACTAGGTACCTATACTATTGTGATTACTGTATTTCGGTTTTGGAGTTGCTTTGTCCTTTTGCGTGATTCTGTCTATCTGGTACTAACTCGGTACATCCAAAGATGCTTAATCTGCCTCTAGAGCAACGTCAGCGAGGGGTGACAGGAGCTACCTCACTAGGTACCGGTACTTCATTGCGGAGCAAAGGAAACAAAGCAAAAAGCGTCTTTGTGGTCAAGAGTCATCGCGTTTCCTTGGTCTGGCCCTCTGGCTTTTGTTGCTGAAAGGGGCCGTTGAAAGTACTCTGTACCCCAACCCACGATAAGCGCTGACTACATGTACCTACTAGTACGGTACCTCAATGCCCCGCCATGTATCGGCTACCAGTGACGTATGTAGGGCTGCGCATATACATTTTCAACCCGCGCACTTTGTACTGAATATCGCGTTTTTCTTATCAGTGCCAGGCACCCGAAATAGGCACCTGAAGGCAGCCTGCTCTGCCCGCTTTATACCTGCAGTAGTAGCATGATTTTCAAAATGGCGGCTACCAACTGGATGCTGTCCGTATACCCTCAGAAAATGAGATCAAAATCCTTTGCATTTGACGGGAAATTTGAAGAAAAAGAAAATTATCATCCATCTTGCTGCTTCCTTTCGACTTAGGAGGGTTATCAATACGTGATTGGATTTGTAGGCAGGCCGGGAGAGTTCCTCGGTGAAATCTTCGTCGAAGGTGGAAAAGGGAGGAGTAGCCGGGTATTGTCGCTCACCTATGAAACAATGGAAGGAATAGCCATTACTGTCTATATTATGAGGCAGGTATTACCGCTGCGTAGCTCGTCAGAAAAGTGCCATCGGCCTGTTTCTGTTTCTCTTCTTCATAATCTCACTAAATGTCTGTGTGATGATTCTTCCAATACCAAGCCATTCAGTCATGTTCCACCCGATTACTCGCTTAGACGCCTTCCTACTTCCCGTCTCTTCCAGGTATGCGAGCAGCTTTCGTGTTTGCAGTTACAACAGTTGAGTGCTACGGGGCCTTGAACTTGGCCTTCATTTCCCGAAATGACAGACTCCCAGAGTATCGGCCGTCCGCATCACCATCAGTAGGTGCCAGTCGCGGCGAGCTGGATTTTATTCAGGAGCTAATCAGTCAAAGGTTGCAGAACAACGGAATAGGCATCGAGTACGAGTCCGGCATCGAAGTCGTTGAATGGGCGAGGAGATTTCTTCATTGTGAGCAAACGCTGAAAAGAAGTGAAGTTACACTACACTGGAGAGGTCGCCAAGTGTGGTGACTCGTTGGCGGGTCATCTACATCAGGATCTACTATACAGAATATGGGTGAATGGTTTTACGCGCAGAGGCAAGCGAATTTCCGGTATCAATGAGTCCAGATTGGAGACTGGTCAAGGCGTCAAATGGAACTATCCGAGGAAAAGTCCTTGTTCATCAATCCCAGTGATGGATGATACCTTTGCTCCCATGGAAGTCCGCGTGGCCGTTAAAGCAAAGCGAAAAACAGTCAAAAAGCTGCAGAACGAAAAACAGAGGAAGAGTGGCAATAATGATCCTTTCAATCAGGTTTATGGCTAATATTTACAAACCATAATGACTCACCTTGCTGCCCAGGAGTCCCAGCCTTGTTGCTCTATTAAATGGCTTGAATGATCGACACATTCCAGCATTGATGAAGAATGCAGCGATCGCCAAAGAAAACCGAGTCCAGGCAACACAAATGATTCCACCCAAGGTCAATCCAGGGCAGCAAGATTCAAAGACAGTCCACCACCCAAGAAGCATTCGCAAATGTGCTTCCCTTTTACCACCTTGCGCCAGGAGCTAGTGCTATCAAACATATGCAGGCGTTATTCGTCGAAGAAGGCTATCATTGTAGCCAGCAGCAAGCTCGGTATTTGATCCATCCCTCTCCAAAAAACCAAATGCATCATTTTGTAAAAAAAGGTTCCTCGAGAGAACAACGGAAAGGAGAAGAAAAACAAGATATGAGAAACGCAAACTCAAGATTCCACGATAATGGCGAGGCGCGAAAACAAAATAGAAATCATCAAACTTGGCGCGTCTCCTGGTGATTATCTCTGCCCTTGGTCCGGAAAAATAAGATTTTAAAAGAGCCGTTGAAAAAGAAAAGAAACAACAATTAAAGCAAAGGCCATCCAGTCTAGGAACCATTTTTTTCTCTCCTGAAATCTTCGGGTTTCTTCTTTGCCAAGATCCATAAAGAGTTGTTACCGATGTGCATCCGGAAATTTTATCGAGTTGGCAAGTGGAAAGGTGAAGATGTTCAGGTCCAGAGAGTGTTAATAGAAGTGTTTTTGATCAGATCAGATCAAAGAGATGCTACTTCAAGTAGATATTCTCAACTCATCTATCGACGAGGAGGTGGCGGTCGATGGTTCCTGTCGCTTTCCCGGTCACTTAGACGAGTACTTGATTCCCGTGGCGGCGTCTGGCTCTCTGCTGGGGGGACGGAAGTGCGAGTTGGAGGGGGAGTGTCATCATACGCGTGTCCTTGTGAGGCATACCCTTGTGGCTGCTGCTGAGTAGTTTGGCCTGCTGGGGAAGCTACAAAATCAGACGAGCGAATTCAAACTGGATGAAGGCTTGGGGTGGTTTTTGTTGGGAGACGCACCTCGGCCGAAGAAGGGGTCCTGAGGCTGTGTAGCGTACGCCATACCGCCCGCAGGAGCCTGGTTAGGATATGGGTAGTTGGGGGCGGGATATCCTTGTGGGACAGGCTGGTTGGAAGCATATACAGGTTGCTGAGGTGGTGGGACAGCTGATCCAGGGTGGCCACCGGCATAAGCATCATTGGGATAGTTCCTAGGAGGCATGTTGGCACCGGTAGTAACATACGCGCCATCCGGATTCTGGTATCCTTGGTTCATCATCGGGCCCTGAGGGTTACCGCCATATCTGGCGTCAGCGGGTCCGGGAGATTGCTGAGGCTGCTGGAAGCCGCCGACGTTGCCGTTGCCGCCGTACACGCCGCCACTGCCACTGGGAGGAGCGTAGCCTTGCTGCTGCTGCTGCTGCTGCTGTTGCGGCGGCGGCGGCTGCTGCTGAGGCTGGTACGGGCCGGAGGCACCATTGTATCCTTGGGCGCCAGTTCCTGGGTACCTTGGGGCGTCATATAGACCATCACGAGGAGGATAGGAATCATCTCGGAAAGGGGGTTCAGTAGGGCCATGATGCTGCCGAGACTGGTGGGTCTCAGAGTAGCGGTACTGGACTGGAGGAGAGTTAGATCTCGGTCTAGGGGCACCAGAATTGGCATATCTCGAGGCGCTGATACCTCCGCTGCTGTTACGCGCGGTCTGGGCGCGGCGTTCCCTGTCCCACCGAGCCGAGTCGGCCTTGAGATCCTCAATCATGGCCTGCAGGTCGAGGGCGACTCAAGTTTCAGTAACAAGATCCGGAAGATGTGAGAGAGGTTATGACGGTATCGAAGATATCGACCAGAAGGAGGGGGAGGAGCAGAACAAAGCAAAGCACTCACGGTCGTCAAGTTGCGGTACGCCGTAATATAGTAACCCTGGACGGGTTGGCCAGTTTGGGGGTTCTGAATAGAGTAAATCGTCAGCAAGCCAAGTCAAGTTGGACGCACACTCTATTCAAAGTTGATTGACGCTGTTACCGAAATCGGCATACCTCATAGTGACCAGGTCGCACCAAAGCATCATTGCCCAGATAGCGGCAGATATCAGCAGAGATTACTTCACGGTCGATGCCATCACGGGGCACAAAGTACTCGTTCATGCGAGTCGTGGGTCGCGACATTGTTGTTGACATTCCTGACGAGACTCTTGTTGCTGAGGATAAAGTCGATATGGTGTTCAAGGCAAAGGCAAGGCAAGGCAAGGCAAGGCAGCGCAATGCAACGAGCAGAGACCCAAAGCGAGAGTAAGAGAGAGGAGAGTAGGAGAGAGGAGAGTAGGAGAGAGAAGAGAATGCGTGAGGGAGAAAAGATGGACCTCAGCGCAGAAAAACCGCCTGCTAAATGAAGCAGTAGCGGGAATAGCAACAAATAGAAAGACGACAGATGGAGGTATTATGGGAGACTCAGCAAGAGTGTGGACAAGGGGTGGCCTGCAGTGGCCGAGAAGAGAGAGTCGGCTTCGTCCTGAAAGGAGAGGAGGAGGAAGAGAAGAGCGAGCGTTGACTGGCCTTGAAGAGTGAAAAAAAGGCGGATGATCTGGTGTGAATGGTTGGTGGGGTGGGGCGCAAATGAGGAGCTCACAGAGACGCTGGTGACCTCTCAAAGAGCTGCCGAACGTTGCAAGGAGCTTCGTTGGCTGGGTCGAGAGCTTGGCTCCAGATCCCGTTTTTTTTTTTCCTTCCACCATAGACACACCCCTGCCCTGGCTCTGTCGCCTTGCTTGCTGCACTCCTGCTTGTCTGCACTCCAGCACCCTGTTCAGTCAGTTGTCGGACCGTTGCAGTGGCCACCGCAGTGCAGCATGAGCATGTACTACTCGTAACTCGGACGGAGTACGGCGCAGGCTGCAGCTGATTGCTGCTGATTGATGCTCGACTGGGACGAGATGGTGGGCTGGTGCTGGTGGGTGCTGGACTGTGATCGGCTGCCTGGATGGCCTTGGCCTGGCCTGACTTGGGCCACCTCCGTGAATGGGGGAGGATGGGCTGGCACAGGATGGGATAGGACAGAAGGCGAGGTGGAATGGAGAGAGATGGAGCTGCCTGCTGACTCCTACATAATGCTACTGTACTTGCTACGACGAGTTACAGGCAAGTATGTGGCATCAAGAGTCACAGCTACTGTAGGTAATGAGCAAAAAGCACAGCAGCAACAGCAGCACCAATGGGTACGGAGCACGCGGAGTAATACGGCTCAAGCACACACGCACACACATACACACATCTTGATACACACCACACACTGCATTTGAAGAAAAAAGGTCCTTATTCTCGCCTCCCTGGACACGTCTTGCCGACCAGATGTTTGAAAACTGCTGCTTTCACGCACAACTACGTTCGTCTTCAACCTGGTGACGATATGCGGCAAAGATCGGGCTCCTATCAAGGGCCTGACGCAGGGCGTTTTTCTTCATTCCCAGGCTAGCGGTAGCATTGCTCCTAGTACCTGGGTGGTGACACAACTAGGGGACCTGCTTAGCACCTAATCCGCGGTGCCTACCCGAGTTCACGCCTTGCCTGGCGCCCATTGGCGGCGTGTCAAGGCGATTTGATGGAACTGGGGCCTGGAAGCAGCCAGTCCTGGAGCCCAAAAGCCGCCTCGCTTCGCCTCGCCCGGACGTCGTCGATGTTGGGCTTCGCTGCACGTCGCCCCAAGGGGGATGGAGCAGGTTTGTGCTTGTAAGAGGAGGGGCCGCGTCAAACGCCGTTGAATGGCCTGACGGGTCTGACGAATGGGCCGCCCTGGCTGGAGCCTCTGCGCTTGGAACGAAGCGATTTCTGACACCGAGGCGCAGAATTGGCTTCTGTATGACCGATTCCAGGCATTCCGCAGTTGACATGGCATCCATCAATCACTTTTAGCACCTGCTACCCGCTATGAGAATATGCAGCCACATCTCTGTTGTGCGATTTCTTTTTTTCTTTCGATTTTTTGTTCAATTATTTGTTCAATTAATTCCCTATTTGCTTCTTTTATGTTTTCCTCGTCTGCCGCCGGTACCTCGCTCGGTGCCTGTACTGGTTCCTGTACCTGTATCCACATCGTCTCACGCTTTCACCAAACCGGTTTTTTGATTTATACACGTTTGCATCATGTCTATCGCGATATCCAGTCGGTGGAAAATGACTGATAACCGACGGCTAAGGCGAAGTCGATGGTTCCTGGCTGGCATAAGCTTGATTGTCGCCGTTCCCGCTGTCCCGCACTGAGTCTCATTCTTTGTGTCTCGATTTCGGATCTAAAGATTCTCTCTCCCTTCGCTATCTTTTCGATTCGCCATCCACGGATAGCAGCGTCGCAATGCGTAAAGAGAAGAAAAAAGCAGTTCCTAATTGATGTGCGCGTTGCGGCATTGCGCGTGCGTGCCTGCGTATATGCATGTCTGCGTCCGAAAGGGTGCAGGTATAATCAGAGGTACTTGTATATGATTAGCCCGCGTTCACAAAATGAAATGCAGGCTACACAACATCCTTTGCACAGATTGGCGAAATGTGCAGTCCCTACATTTCCTACAGCACAGGTACCTGTCTACCGTCTCTAGTTGTCTAGCTATTATCTCCCCCCTCCACAGCAAGCGATCATCGAGCGGCGCAGAGAAAGGTCGAGCGGAGGCTTTGGACCCCGGAGATGTCATTGGTGATAGCATCATGCGGTTTGGCCTTGAGGCCTGAGCAGGAGCTTGTGGCAAACAGGTTGTACTATCTATAACACTCGAGACTTTATTCCCAGACAGGAGGCAAAAAGCCTACGTTTACCCCCTCCAACTCCAAATCCAAGAAGCCCGACATATCCTGCATTTCTTGCCCCTTCCTTCTCTTATACCTGCCCGTCAAGTGGCGATCTCATGATAAAACCGGCTTACGGCTGGGCACGCATCGTTTATCCGAAATCAGGCTCAGGGAGAGTAAGCTTAGAGGACCAGCCGTGAGCAGGGCGATGTCAATTAAAGAAAAGAAAAAGGAAAAAGGACACCTCGATATCTAGCTATTTCCCTTGCGCCAAGCAAGAGTGAGACACCGAGAACAAATTATATCGTGCAAAAGAAGAAAAAGAGTCTCTCCTAACGCCCGATCGGCATCCAATATGGCACCCCGTCTTTGTCCACAACTGCTTGCCAACGAACTTTGTTCAACGGGCTAGTGCTGTCTCTGTCTCTATTGCATAAGACGCTAGCACTACCCGGATGCACGCCAAAATTACCCTCGGATCTGTGTAACCCCAGGCTCAGTCCTCTCGTCTTCTTACTCGTAGCCGGAAGTTGAGCTCTGGTGAATGGAGGGGGCGCCTGCGAGCTGCAGCATCGGCTCCAGCCACCGCTTCAAGCTGCAGACAGTGCTTCACGATCGCTCCCAGCAAATGGCATGTGGTATTACCTCAGCCAGAGACAAGGAGGGGGTCACAGAAAAGCTCTGCAGGCTGAGTTTGAGTTGGGTATCAACGCTTGTGGCCAATTGGAGCCTAAGCTTGGTCGACAACAAGTTAATGCAGCTAGCGGCGTGCGAGTCCACTCCTTGGCCAATCGTTCAAGGTCGCATCAGACATGATTGCCACCAATGCTCATTGGAGGCATATCATGGGGATTGAATCCATGTCTTGGAATGTGCGTTTCAATACTATGACTGCATAATGCGGCTGCTTCCTTGCGGACCGGCAGCCATCCTTTTACCGCCTTGCCTCTTGTTTTGTTTGCTACTCCATACTGAAGTAGTGGTAGGAGGAGAATACGGGGCAGTAGGTGGTAGCAGTGGTATTACCTTATCAATCATGGCGTTACGACGATTTACCCCATAGCGGCACGCTGCATGAACAATCTGAGATGCGCGCTCAGACGAGGTTCGTCAAGCCGTGTGGCTTTCTGTTTTAGTAGAGGAGCAGGTGACCACAAGCTTAACAAAGAAAGAGCCTTTCAGCAGTGTAGCATAAGCAATCCCAGGCGATGAGCAAAGGAAACATCCGATTCCCCGCTTCGTCCCATCATGGTTGAGATTTGTGATACCCAGTTCACGTAATGGTAGTGGTGTCGGTCGTTAGCATACTATTAGGCATGAGCGTTTCCATACCATTTCCCAGCCCAGAGCAAAAGAAGCTGCTGAATTCCAAGGCAAGCGGAGCTGAAGTTTGATTTGATCCATTTGATGGACCACCGGGTCAATATAGAGAGCCCAACTGTGGTGGAGCGTTCCCTCTTTGCGAAATGTAGTTCGCCATCGTGACTTTTTGATCATGCAAGAAAAAGATTTTCGTACCTTCAAAGCGCACTAGCTGGGCCTCTTTGTTTCCAAGGCGCTCTGCTGGAAACTGTTCGTCATCTTTTGCTTAATGCCAAGGATGAGATCACAAAATCCATCAAAGTGTATTGCTCATCCAAATTTGAGTTTGCTTTGCCCCTGCTCGCCCTTTTTTCTTGGGCGCCCACGCTTTGAAGCAGGACCAGAGCCTTTCGGCCCATGGCCACGTGCAGTGGCTGGTTGCTCGGCAAATGCGGGCTTGACACGTTCGCTGTCTTGGATATCTTTGGCAAGATGCCAGTCCTCGTGGCTCTGTAGGGACACCTCGTCGTCAAAGCCAGCCTTACATCTCGGACAGATTAGGTCCGTCAAGTTAGATGGATCCTCTGGCCCTGAATTCTCGTGACTAAATATCGTAGTTTCGGGCTCGAGTATGCCCGACTCTTTCCATTCTTGATCAAACCACAAAGATTCGGCGGTTTCAGACTGATGCTTGTCAATGTCCAGCTTTTGTATCTCAGATGGAGAGCCTTGACGACTACCAGCGTTTCGTTTAGAAAGGAATCGCTGAATGTTGGGCTTATCCAGTCGAGGCTTCTTGCTCGGCTGCTCTATAGCCACGTTCTCAGACTCGGTACTGTTGGAAGGCCGTAATGGAGGAGGGGTCTCGTCCCTCTTTTTAAAAAAAGCACCAATCCCCATGTTGCCCTTGACGCCTTCTTCGAACCCACTAACACTCAAGCTCAAGTTGGCGCAGGGCCAGGCGCCGCCCTCGGTAACAATCTGATTAAGCAGCTCTTTACAGAGGATGAATAGAGCTTGCTCGTCCAAAGGCTTTCCTGTGGGAATTGGGCATCCCCTACTGCGGGTTTGCCCAGCGTGACGATGATGAAGATTGATTGTAC